AATCACAGATATAATTAATACTCTTTTTTTTTTTATTACATCTATTTCTTTATCTAGCTACTGAGGGATTTAGTTTGGAGAAAATAAATAGTTCAAGTTCTTTCCCTTGTGCACTTTTCAAAGCTTTTGACATTTTTAGAGAACTACCTCTAGTTAAAATTTTATGGAGAAAAAAACCCAGTGCAATTTAGTGCCTGAGGAATATCCCAGATGCAGACTGGGTTCATATGTTATGGTTGTTCACAGCTCAAGAAGGAAGCCTGATAGAACAGAAGTAATTCAAAGAAGGACTTAATTTCAACATGTTTATCTTCCACCTATGAAGCTGTAGTAACTCTTGTGTGCTGGCATTCAATACAGAGACATTAATATAGATTTTATTGAAACTGGTTAATAAATGTGGCATTCCACCCTGAGTAGACTGAAGGAACATAAGTGATACACAAGATACATTTTACTCATATTTAATGGAAAAATTACTGCATATATGTTTTTAAGTTAGAAGAAAATAACCACTCTTTCTTTTCACAACATCATTAAACAAAAGATTTTCCAGATAAGAAAAGTAACTTTTATTGCCATCCTTATTTTACACATTACAAACAACATGCAAGGAAAATAGATTTGGATTCCATAAAACTCTGCTCTACTTTTACTTGGAACGGAGAATAAGATAGTTTTAGGTGTGTGTTCAGCTTCTTGGCTCCATGCCTAGAATTCTTCTTTACAAATAACCAATCCTGAACCTTGCTTACCAATATGTAAATCCTTATGAGCAGTATCTGTGGATTGGCAGAAAGGGATGACTTTCATGTTATACATATGGTATGTATGATTTTGAATCAATATCAAGAACAAAGTGGTGGACAAGTAGGACAAGTAATTGGTGCAAAGGGTGATGTTGCTCCAGTCCTGACTTCCATTATGTTTTCTAGCTACATTTTGGAAATGAGTTACTTGAATTCAGAAGTATGTTTTTTCAGAAGTGTGTTTTTTATTTTGTGAGACCTTGAGGTTTTCTTAAAGGAATAACCTGTTTTTAGAAAGTGGAAGAATATGTCATTAATATGTCAGAATATGTCATCATACCTCCTTCAAAAATAGTTTTCATTTCTTTTCCTTTAACTGAAAAGTTTTTCACCTTCTGTGCAAATGATCTAGAACTCTACAGTTTGGAACATAAGCAGCCAGAGTGAATTTCTCATCATAACCATTAAAACTATGTCTAAGAATTAAGAGAAGAACATAATATTCAGTTAAGTATGGAAGCATTTTGAAAAGAGATTACCATACTGTTCTTTTAGGATGAAAAGTATGAAAGATAAAGATCTGTCTTTAACAATTGAGTGGTATGCAAGTTAGTGGCATTGTACTTTATCTTAGCCCATTGTTTTAATTTAGCTTATGATTAATTTTGAAGATTTTGTTGAACATTTGAAATAGTATGTGTCCAACATTCAAGCCTCTGGCAATTGATTTAAGCTTTCTTCCACACAATTTCATTTGGCAAGAAAAAGAGTTTTACTGTTTCACTGCCTCCCTAACTTGTATGTGGATAAGTGGAATATTTCCTTTAAGAACACATTCTAAAGAGAGATAGAAAATAAATTAAGGTTGTATTTTATCATTCACCAAATTAAGATGCAAGCATCTTTTTGCCTTGTAAATTATTTGCTTTTGGTTGGAAAGTTTCACAATGTTTAAAATTAACCAGAACATCCAGGTCTTGTGTGACCTACAAGGATTTATGGAACTTTTGCCTCTGATAAATAGCCCAAAATTCAAAGAAAATACCTTCATCAGGCAACAGGAAATTATTTTTTAACAAATTTATCTGAAATACTAACTACTGGAGGAAATGGGGATGTAGTTTTACATCTATAATCTGTAACGTGCTCCTTTGGTTTCTATTCTCATACAAGAATAACTACAAAGGTTTTATGGTGCTAAAGATGCCCTTCCAAGTAGGGCTGGGAAGGAGGTGAGCATCTGGGGCTTTTTTTTTTTTTGTAAGAGAAAAGTGATTAAATTTAAAAGTCATTATGTTTCTTATGTTACTGCTGTGGCTGACTCTTATGCAAAATAATTTCTGTGATTAATGTACATTTTATGATTACTCATGATTTCCTGCATAGTTTCCAAATCTTACTGGCTCCATATGTAAAATAAATAGCATAAACAAAACAGCATGATAAAATCACTGCTTTGTGTGAGTACAGTTCATTCTATTTGTAACACTTGGCTGAGATATAGGACATTTTTTACAGTAGGAAAAGTGCCATCTACTGAATCACCAAAACAAAACTTTGCAGCATCTTGATAGATTTTTGTGAGAGAGGTCCTTCCCAATTACTGCAAGCCTTACTCAACTTGCAAACTTAATTTAGATCACCGCTGACACAGTGATATGGTACCTCACTAAGTATGTATTTAATGTGTTGTGTGGGTATTTGGGTTCTTTTTTTCTCGAGTAAGTGTTCCTGGATTTCAAGTGTTAATGGAAAATCAGTGAACTGCATTTTGAATATCTTAAGATTTCTATTTTTTAAATAACTTTTGTCCCCAAGATTTCTGGGGAGACTTCTTGAGCATCCTCTCCATCTCTTTAACACCCTAGAGAGGTCAGACTCCCGGTAAGGAGTTACTCTTATTTTGCCTGATTAGACAGTTTGGTGAAGGTATAGACAGAAAGACTATAAAAACAATAACCTGACAGCACATTAATAAATAACATTTTATGCTGAGACAGAAGAAAAAATAACTGAAATTACTAAGAGATAACTTTGCTATGGGAAAGGACTTACTAGTTAGCATAGTTTGGCAAGGTATAGAACATTTTTCAAAGGCATTAAATTGCTGTAAAGACCAATAGGACAATAAACTTTATTCAGGACTTAGAAGTGCTGTCAGTATTCTTCAGGGCTAAGCAGTAGACACTGGAATGAATATGAGCCACTGTATAATCCTGCACAGCTTTTAGAAGAATGTCACTACAAAAGTGGAGGGATTGGGAAAGTGAACATGATGAAAATCTTCAAAAATCTGGGAACTTTCCAAACATGGTCACAGGCTTACAGGAATTGGATAACCACAGGATTGTGGGTAAAGTCTTGTCATGACTTAAAACTAACTGATGAGAATAGCACAGGAATCAATTATTCCTTCTTAATATAAAAATATTTAGCAGTGAGAAGTGGCAACACTTTGTACACAGACAATTGTAAAATGCTCAAATTACAATGTCTGCAGTGAATCTGGTAGCAATTTTGTGACAATGATAATTATTTGTACAGTAAGAAAATGCCCCTTATCTATGTAAACCATGTTGTGTATAGCCAGGTATACTGTCAGACAGCAACCTTTGCTTCTGTCACAAAATAGGCTTTTTTCTCTAATTATAAACTGGATGTGTGCTGGTTTCTGCATAGATAATTCCACTGATAGCTTTTCATATATATTTTATTTTTTTTTCTGTTCATACAATACCCCTGAGGAACAATATTCAAACACATTAATTAAAACTTATTCAACAACTTGTGGGTTGCTTTCTTTCTAATTTAGTGGTGACTGCAGTTTGGAAATTCTGACTTAGCCAGCTTCAAAAATCATATGATGTTGTTGCTCATATAGAAACAGTTAAGTAAAAATAACCAGAGGGAATGCTTTTAAAAGTCAGTGTTGGAAGAGCTTTCACTTGGTGAGATGAGAAAGAAATCACTCATTTGACATGAGAAAAGTTGAGAGGAAAGACAGGGGCTCTTCTTGAACATGTCCTCCTTGAAATTGTTTGAAAGGTCTTTCAGACGCTTGGGGAAAAAATTAAACTCCATGCCCACCATTCATAATTTCAGCCAAATATAACAAATTTTATAGTGGGAAAGTGTGGAAAGATAATTACACTTTGTCCTAGGCAGTAACAGGTGCTGTCAGGCCCTCTCTATTCATATCCCAGTCCCACAATCTTCCCAGAGACAAACTGTTCTTCACCAAGCGGGATTTTTACCACGTGCAGAAACACTGCTCTGGGCAAGGTTGCTTTTCCTGTTCTGCTTTAGCGAGGTTAAAGCATCTCAGGCTGCCAAAACTCTTAGAAACATTTACAACATCAAAGTCAGCTGCAGCCATGCAGGGTGATGTTCAAAGCAGGACTTGGCTGCATGCCCTCTTCTTGGTGTTCATAGCTAGTGGAAGATAGAAATACCTAGACCAACTCCTTTTAGCTTTTTTGCAGTAAAATGGAAAACCACCAGAGGTTAGTGATATCTTACAATCTCTTCATTTTGCTCCACAGATCGATCACTGAAGAGTGGTGGGGGAAGGATGTGTTCAAAGCGGCACTGGCCAGTACTTCAGAGAAAGAGACTCATAGAATATTCGTGAAAGATACTCTGGCTCATGTGTCTCATTAATTTTTATACGGTGTGATACACAACCACAACAGGGTCTACTGATTGTTGTGTTTTTGCAGCGCAGTTTATACAGGTGAGCAGGGACATACAAGTGCCTTTTCACGATTTGGTGACATTTACACAACACTGTCCTTCCACAGCTCCATTCCTTAGTCCAAACCGAGCCATGTACATTCCAGACGCGGCCAATCCGTCACTTAACAGTATGGGGCGTGAGTGTCACCCCTCCAATAATGACTTTTATCGCAGAAACAGGGACTGTGTGTTGTCTTCTTCAATGAGCCAGCTAGGAAAAGCCGTTTCCTTTTTGGGGGCTGCTTTGGCCGGTTTTGACCTTTTCCCCGTCAGACCGGGTGCCACCCGTCCCGCTCCCGCGGACAACGGCGGGCGGCTCCGGGGAGAGACAGCGCCGCGCACCCTCTGGGAGACACAGCACCGCGCTCTCGCCCCCAGGGGCCTTCCGGCGCCGAGGAGCAGGGAGAGCCCCTCTCCCGAGGAAGCCGCCCGGCCTCCGCCGCCCCCAGCAGCGCGGGCGGTGGGCGCTCCTCCCCCGGCCCCGCTGTCCGGGGCCGGGCCGGGCCGAGCCGGGGCGGGNCAGCGGCTGCGGCAGCTCCGGGAGCTGGAGGGACGGGGCCGGGCGGCCGGCGGCCGCCGCGCTCGCCTGACCTGCGTGCCCCGCTGGCCGCGCCGGGCTGCCCCGAAGGATGTCCGCCCAGTCCAAGGGGACCGCATCCTCCTCCTCCTCGCCGTCCGAGGGGCCGCCGGCAGCCTCCAAAGCCAAGGTGAAAGAGCAGATCAAGATCATCGTGGAGGATTTGGAATTAGTCCTGGGGGACCTGAAAGATGTCGCCAAGGAACTTAAGGAGGTGAGAGCGAAGGGCTGCGCGGTCGGACTCCCCGTCTGCCCCGTATGGGGCAAGAGCCCCACCGCCCGCAGGCAGGGATCAGGCTTCCCCCGGAGCTCTGCTGCCGCCCCCAGGCTCCTTTTATCGCCTCTGCTCCGCGGGTCGAGCAACTGGTGTCCAGGTTGGGCACGGGGCAGCTCCCGGCCGTGCCCCGGGGCGGGCGGCTGGGCATCGCCGCGCTGCCCGGCGTCCCGGAACGGGCTGCAACCCCGTGTCCCGGGTGCCGTGCGCCTCACGACTGTGAGGCGGCTCTACTCGGGGACTTCCCACCTCAGGGCACCATTCAGAGTTTATATTTTTCCCGGGGGGAGCCTCTCCTGAGAAGTCTCTGCTGGACCAGGGTGTTCTGGGGAGCTGCGGGACCCGCAGCACTGCCCGGTTCCGGGCTGAGCCGCGCCGGCGTCCCGGCGCTGGGAGAGGAGTCAGGAGCGACCCCCTCCCGCCCCAGCGAGTTTAAGTTTTGGGCTGCGCGGTGCAGCGCCGTGCTCGGCCCGAGCAGCAGCGGCAGCGGCAGCAGCAGCGGCAGCAGCAGCAGCAGCAGCAGCGGCAGTAGCAGCAGCGGCAGCCCCGCTCGCACCTGCCCGGCTGCGGGGCTGAGCGGCCCCGGACCCCGCGCACCGCCGCCCTTGGCGCGGCTGCACCGGCGCGGCCAAGTCTGCTTCAGTCTCTGCAGCCTGCTTCTCCGGTAGCTGAGCACCCTGCTTATCGGCCCTATCTGGCAAGATTGCCCTCGCAATCCCTCCCTTGATGGTGGCGGGTGTCATCTCCTCTAGGTTAATCTGCAGGCAGAGTGCGATTACCGCGGGCATGTTCATAAACAGGGAAATGCAGTAGCTGAAGGAAAAGAATTTGGCTGTCCTTTTGGAGATTTCCTCGTTATCTTGATTTTGCTACACAACTGGTCGACAGATGGTTGGATTATGCACCAAAATTCAAGTCCAGAATCTCTGTGTATTGCTTTATAATCCTATATTTGACATTTATAATAAGCTTCGGTTTTTTGCCATCATATATTAGTTTTCTATTTTAACAACATTGTCAACAAGTTTCTTTCAACAGTCTTTTGCCATCTGAGGCAATCTGAAATTCACCCAGTGCTTTGTATAATGTTGAAAGATGTATAAACACACGGCTCACTAATCACAGCTGTTAGGCTCTTTTTTCAGCCACAATTCCAGGTTCCTCCTTTTTTTTTTTTAATATATCTATAATTTCTCTTTTTCTTAATGTGCTGCTGTCTATGCTTTGTAATTTTTTGAGGTATTTTGAAATGGAAATAATATTTATAGAGCAGCTCTTTAAATGTTTCTAAGACCAATAGCGTAAACTGGCTTCTGTTGCTGCAGAAGCACATTTTCAGGACCTGGAAAGGATGTAATGTGTTCTGTCCCATGAATGTAAATCGTTCCCTGCACGTAATCAGTCCTAGCTTTCATCCAGTGAGCAAACAGGATCGCTGTAAGTGGAGATCGTATATCATCATTTACTGTGGCATGTTTTATCTAAGCAAACTTGTCCGTTCTGGTTGACTGCATCTGGAAAAGAGAACTGGATTTACCTCTGCTTGATAGGGAAACCTGTAGAGAAATGGAGCTGTAACTCTGTTTAGTACTGTGTACCTGTTGAAGGGTGCAAGGATTGCCAATTGCATCTGTTTTGAGAAAATGAAGGTATTTTTATAAAAAGGATAGTTAAATCTTGTTTCTGACTGCACATGAGGTTTTTAGTAATGCTTTTCACCAAATATGCCTTACAAAGATGGTAGCTCTCATACTCCAACAAATAAGGGTTGCATACATATACATCTGCTTCATTGCAATATTATCATTATGTGTTAAATACACAAAGTGTGACATTTATTTTGGAAAGTCTGCAAAAGTTTGCCATCCGAGTACCTTTAGTTTGTCTGCCTTAATAGGATGGGCTGAATCTGCACAAAAACTCTTGACATAACTGCAATGTATATTTTTTATGTAAAAGTGGGTTAATTGGTGATTTTATAAGCTGATAACCAGTCTCTTTCACAGGTTGTTTGTAGGTGTTAGGAAGGAATGACAGGCTCTTTGTTAAAGCTTACAGGAAGTTAGTCTATAGTCAGTTAGGTGTATTACACATAGAAATATGACTATGCTTCATTTATGTTACCTACTGTAGGACCAATCAAAATGATGAAATAGAGGATGTAAGTTCACACTTTCCACGTTCACTGCAAATTCTGTATTTCTGGAAATGTTGCTGCCTTTTTTTTTTCCTCCCAGGGTGTTTGCTGCAGCCCAGCTGTTGAGCTGCAACCTTTTCTGTTACTTTTTTTTTTTTTTAATGTGTAATATTGTGTACTGGAAACAGTGTTTCATTTTTTATTACTGTTTTAAAAGTTTTCAATTCTGCTACAGTGGTAGGTTTTTTAGCATGAAGGTTTTTTAGCCCTTTTTTTGTGTAGTTCCAGTAATATTTATTTAGTTGTGGTATAGAAAATAAAATGGTACTGTAATTTTTTTTGTGATTTACATAATTTTTAAAACACTTTATTTTCTTTTCATCCCTATGTATTTGTAACCCTTAGATATAAATTGTGATTAATGGAGCACTTAATTATTGTGATAGACTTCATGATACCTTTCAGCCTTCTTTTTTAAGATTCATAGTTAAAGTACTGTCAAAATGAAACACCATTTTGTTGCTTCAAAATGAACTGCTCTGTAGCAGTAAGTAGCATTGCTGTATAGCAATAGCATTGCTGTATGTTTTATTACATTTAGCTTGTTATGCTTTACTTACCTTAATATATTTGCATCTGCCCTTTGCTCTGAACCTTTTTTCTGATTGGTTCTTGAACATTTTTTTATGTTTTTAAAAAGAGGAGATTGAGGGGTGAATAGAGGATGGCATGTTAAACTCAGATAGGCAAACCATGAAGTTTATAAATACTCTCTAAAAGCATGTGACTCAATCATGCAGATTAAAAGAAATACATTTTAACAGTTACTGTGTCTCAGAAGTGAACCATCCCTTTCTTCCTTCCCTCTCTCCCCCTTATTTATTGTTCTTGTCTGATTAGGTTAAGGTGACCACAGAAGATCAAGGATGGAGCAGGGGGGTGACTGGGAGACGTGGAAGGATGGAGCAGTGCTGAGTCCAGAGTCTGAGCTGGTGTATGGCTAGCCTTCTCTAGAGTGCTGTTAATTTAGGAGAGGCTTGGATGGACCCTTTTGTCTCCTTGCGTGGGTGTGGAGCAACAACGGGATGTGGTTTTGCATTGAAAAATGGATTTGAAATGGTTTAAGTTGCTGTCATTTGATGAATATTCCAAAGAGAAATCAAAGGGGTGCCAGAGGATTGAGCAACACTTGCTATTCCTTTAGTCCAGACTATTTCAAAATTAAGTTGGTGGAGCCTTAAACTTTAGTTCTCCTCCAGAGGATTGAATAAAAGACCTTTTTCACTGGAGTTTGTATAGAAAAACTGGCTATTATGAAGTCTTTTTTGGAACTACTTATCTGTCTGGTACATAAGTAATGTACTGTTGGAAATCAAAAGATGTGTACTATTGTAAAATGCATGATGTCGCCCTCTGATTACTTCAGAAGGGATTGTAGGGGATGTACATGTACACCTGTGGACAGCAGGGCACAGAGATTTATATAACCTTATAATGATAATATAATTTTTAAACCTTCCTTTCCTTGCATTCAGATTTTATGGTAATGTTACACATTTCTTTATTCTTGTGCTTGTTTTCATGAAGGAAATACTTAACTAAATAATTTTGATAAATAGTTTTTTTAATAATAAAAATTCATCTTGCAGAACAAATTCCTGGAAGTTATGTGTGAGACATTTGCATAGCTTTTAATTGGCTAAATATGCTCCAACCTTTTATCGAAAGGAAGCAGCTGTGTAGCTATTGCCAGTGTTTAGAATATTCCAAAATGGAGGTGCAGGGGAAACAGAAGCCCTCACAGGCATTGCACGTACATCAGTGAATTTCCAGTCATTTGAATCTACCTCCTCTGCTTTAAATCCTGTGAAAATGTCTTGCTGACAGAATGAGTACATAATCTTTTGTCATCTAACTGATGTGTTTATTTTCTGTAAAGGTATGATCTATACAATTTGGGCATTACTTAATAAATATGTTCTAAGTGAGGCTAGCAGATATGAACCAAAACACCATGACAAAGTTCGTTATAGGATAAATAACTTGATTCCATAAGCAGGCCACTCATCACTCTCTTAAGTGAAGGGTGGTCATGTGTTCTGTGGGTTTAATTTCTGGTTCAGGACTGCAGAAGTGTATTACAATTTCAACCGCCAGTTTTTTCCATTCTATTTCTGGCTTTGTGTTCTGGTAACTATCCAGATGGCAGAAGGTACTTCAAGTTCTTGCCTGTTAAACCAGAAACTAGGAGGTGTCAGGTCCACCAAGAGGACTGGAGCAGCGATACTCCATCACATATGAGTATCTCTGATGTGCAGTGCAAGCACCAATATAAAAATTTTGGGTTCCTATTGCTGCATGAAGATGAGGCGGGAAGTTATTACAGGTAGGCATGGGAAATACTATATAGAAACATAAGGATAGGTAGAAAAATAGCAAAACATTTTAATCCATTCCTTCTTCTCCTGATTCTTGCCTCTTTGGATTCTGTTCAGGTGTCAAGGACCTGCCACTCTTTTTTGCTAGGTAGTGGCAGTTGGAGCTTTTTGTGCATATGCGTTCCTACCGTTAGAAATCCAATTAAATGAAGATGCCCTGCTTATACCTGGATGAGGGATGGAGGCCCTCTTAACAGTGTTCTTCTGGAGTCTTTTCTTCTGTGCATGCACTGTATGTGTATGCAGATCCTGGTCAGTAGGGTGTGTGAGGGACTGAAGCATTTTTGTAATTTTTTTTGCTGTGGCTGTGATTTGGATCCAGTTCATGTACCAGAGTCAAAGCGTTGCATGAATAAAGGCAGCTG